GTGATGGCATTAGGGAAAGAACTGTCCTTGTGTCTAGTTGTTCTGGTGTGCAGAGCCCTATAGCGTCATTTTGAGGGCAGGAGTTGAAACAATTTGTGTCCAGGATGCGAGGGGTCTGTAGATATTTTCACGGCCCTCTTTTTGACTCCTGCACTGTCCAGGTCCTCAATGGAAGGCAGGTTGGTAGCCATTGTTTTTTCTGCAGTTCTAATTATCCGTTGAAGTCTGTGTCTGTCTTGTTTGGTTGTAGAACCAAACCAAATATCTGGAGATTCTGTCATCCAGGTCATAGTTGTCTCAAAGGTGCCCCCCCCCCCGCCAAAGGCAACTGGACTGCTTTTTCCTTGAGGAAGATGTTTTGCTTCTCATCCAGTAAGCCATCCCTCCACCATGCAGCCAAACTGAAGGATCTTCTTGGATGAAAAGCAAAATATCTTTTTCAAAGAAAAAACAGTCCATTTGCCTTTTGAAATAAAAAAAGCAGCTTTGAGACGATCAATAGACAGTGGTACAAAGTCATTCTGATTTATTTTTCACACGCTACCCGTGCAGTGGTGGTTGCTCCCAAGTTCAGCACCTTTGAGATATTAATCGGGTGGTTTTTCCTTGTAAAAACTCCCAACCCCTGCATCAGATGCTTGGCTTCAAATATCAGCCCCAGCTTGCTAGGCTATAGGTGATAGATACAGCAAGTCCTAGATTTACATCAGTTCCTTTAGCGAATTCAAAGTCATGGCACTGCTAAAAGAACAAAACAAAAAAAAGACTTAATGACCAGTCCTTGCATTTACAACCGTCACAACATCCCCATGGCCATGTGATGAGAATTCTTGGCAACCGGCATGTACTTAACAATGTCTGCACCATCCCAGGTTCCTAGGATGGCCATTTGTGAACTTCCCAGCAAGCTTATGACACGCAAGGTCAATGAGGGAAGCCCAGATTTGCTTAACGACCACAACAAAAAAGGTGCGACTCACTTAGCAACCACCTTGCTTAGCAGTGGAGGTTCCAATCCCAATAGAGGTTGTAAACTGAGGAACTGCCTTTGTTTAATCCAACAATAATTGGAAACTTGTGCCTTTCCTGGTTCTGTCCAGGAACCTTGCATTAATGTTACACTGCTTTTCCTTCAGTATAACAGTTTTACCTATTGATCCGTACTTGTGGTCCTTGATGTATGACCACAGTTGAGCCCAAAGTTTTATGTTGCTTAGTGAGATATTTGTCAAGTGAGGTTTACCCCATTTTATGACTTTTCTTGCCACGTTTGTCAAGTGAATCACTGCAGTTGTTAAATTAGTAACACGATTATTAAGTGAACCTGGCTTCCCCATTGACATTGCTTGTCAGAAGGTCACAGAAAGTGATCAGATGAACCCAGCACACTGCAACTGTCATAAATGTGAGTCAGTTTTTGCATCTGAATTTTGATCATATGACCATGGAGATGCTAGATAGTTATACGTGTGAAAAATGGTCATGAGTCACATTTCAGTGCTGTTGTAACTTTGAACGGTCACTCAGTGAACTGTTGTAAGTCGAAGACTGCATGTATTGCTCCAAGAACTACATTTAGCTAGGGGTGACTATGCGTTCCTTTTGAATTTAGCTAACTTGCTGAACTTTTCTGAAGACCAATCCAGGCAGTGTTAATGTCTGAATGCGCATTTTTCTAAATATTTTGCAATGAATGCAACAGGCTTTAAATAATGGAAACCCCTTTTTATCATACTTTCTGATCTGTGCATCGGTGGTGACGGGAATAGCAGAAGGCAAATTATTTTATTCTGCTTGTGCTATGAACCAGATGAAGGACAAACTTAAGTTTCTTCTTCCCTTGAATTTGTTCCAGCTTTGTTTGCGGTCCCCAAAAACTACAAGCTAGTAGCTGCTCCTTTATTTGAGCTTTACGACAACGCGCCAGGCTACGGTCCTATCATTTCCAGCCTCCCGCAACTTTTGAGCAGGTAGAGTACACTTGCAGCTCTGTGTTTCGTGGGAAATGGAGGTGCTTTCTTGAACCCCCATCTTTTAATTCCAGGGGAGGAGCTAGCTGGTCTTTTTAAAGAAGGAGAACTTGGATCAAGTCAGGGTGGATTCGATTTAAATCAAGTCCACAATTTAAATCACTAGTAAAAAGGCTCGATTTTTAATTTTTAAAAGGCAACTGTCATTTCTCCTGTGCGCTGCTTGGGGAATGCAAGCATGGGTTAACTTTGTCCATTAGCCTAGAGACTGAGTTATGCAAATTTATGGCCACGTCTCGTCTGACTGGACTGGTTCAGTTTTTTAACTCAGTCCAGCCTAAAGAGAGACAAAATAATTCTCTCTAGGTTACTAGACAAATTCTTCATTATTATTTATGCTAACAGGCGCTGTCATGATGGATCTGAAATGACAGATGCTCTTTAATATTATATTTATAAGCTGCTTAGAAGGTTTCACTTTCATTTTTACTGCTCACCCTTCCTCCTCACACTTAGAGCCTGGTGGTACAGATGCATTTCTCTTCCAACAATCATACAGTTTGTACTGTACATAGATTTGCAAAGCAATCGGATAAAAGAATATTCCTGAACTTTGTTTTATTATTTATATCAAGGTTGCTGTGAAATTGTGTGAATGCATTAATGCAGTGCATGTTATCTCAGCTTGTAAAGCTTGTATTTATTGAATGAGCTTACCAAAAATGTAAATATTGAAGAATATACAGCCTCATGCTACATAATTAAGCTCCATTTCATGCTGAAGAAACTAAATTATTAATGTATCTTAAATAGAAAACCACCATAGATTTTTTACTCCGAAAGCATTTTATTAAAATAAATTTGATTAAAAAAATCGATTTTAATTTTTTTAAAAATCCAATTTAAATGAAAGAAATCTGATTTTTTTTTTTTGAATCATTGATTTTTATCCATCCTGGATCAAATTAACTTAAGAAGGAAAGCTTACTCCCTCTCTTTCTGTGCAACTATATGAGTTGAGATTGTGAGGGGGAAAAAAGTTTTGTGGAGCAAAGGAATATACATTTTCTTCTCTTGACCATGTCTTATCACTAGTGATACATATTCTGTAAGTCTGCAGCGTTACTCTTGGATGATGATGTTGCTGATTCAGTCTGAGATTCTGGAATTCTGCTCTTAACACTATTATTAAATTTCTACACCGCTCATCGCATCTAAGTGGCTCTGGACAGTTGCACAACAGCATCCAGCATAACGAAAACCACATAAATACCCAAATCAAAGCAGAGCAGAGCTGAAAAACAAAGTTAAAACAAGTTAAAATGTACAAGTAAAAATAAATCGGGTTAAAATTCAAAGGCTAGGTGGTTAACCAGGCATTTCTAGCCCTTTGGCTGATAAAAAGTGCGGATTTATGCAGATGGTCCATCCTTCATCTCCTTCACTGAGTTTTGAAGTCTGAGACGCTGAAACTTTTTCAGGAGTTCTCATTAATGGAGTTGCAAATGTAGCAATAATGCCTGAGAGCTGAACAAGTAAAAAGTCTTGCCATCCAAAATTGTCCATTTGCTTCCAGATTTTGAAAATTCAGTCTTGCAGGGCTCAAGGGATCAGAAATGCCAACCAAGGGCTCCCTGTATTCTCAGTAGGAGAGGAGGCAAAAGTCCCAATTGTATTCTGACCTAGGCTTCTCCAAACCGCAAAGCAGGCTCCTTGTCTTGACAAAATACCCTGTTTATCAATTTACTGTGAATTCCTCTCATTCACTTCCAGCAAAGTCTTTCAAGGGTTAATATACAGTCACAGACCTTATCTGGCTTGGGGAGCTGCCAGGCCAGTATCTTCAAAACTTGGCAAGGAGCCTCTGAGTTACCAACCAATTAAGTGAACTAATTATCTCCTGTAAACTCCACTCCCCTTTTGCTCCTCTTTTATTTCCTCTGGGAAGGCTATTCATTGTCCACCTTGTGGCCTTCCCAAGTTGACCCCTGTTCTTTAGCTGTTCCCTTTGTCTGTCAACTCTACATGGGCACACTGGGAACAGGCTCCAGCTGTTCGTCTGCCTCACTGATGTCTACTTCTGAAGTCTGTTGATAACTGGCATACGACTCTGGCCCCCTCTCTGCCTCGGACACAGCCCTCATCAGAGCCTTCCCCAGACTCCAGGACTGGCCCATGTTCCTCCCCAACCTCCTCACTGTCCGAATCTGCTGCCAGCTCTGTTGGGTGCTGGCGGGCCACAACAAATTGCTATGAACCATGTACGTCGCCTAAATTGTGCTCCAAAATTTTTCGAGGTGCACAGAGAGAGAGCCAACATGCAAACAATTTTCTAGGAATTAAAAAAAAACCTTTTAAATTGAGAATATAAAATAATTCAGTTTATCCTCTTTTCTTTCCACTCTCTTTGGCAGGTTCAATTTTATTTACAACTGAATTTCCTGAAGTGTGAGTAGAAGCCGTCTCTGTGAGAACAGCTTTAAAATGTAGAAGAGAAAATGTGACGCAAGGATTTTTTTTAATGTTTTTCTTTCTCCTTTGAATTTTCCCCCTCCCCTCCCCAACTTTCTACTATCTGAATAGGAAAGAGAATCTTGACTGTTTAGACAATGGGATAAGAACTGTATTTGCATTTTAATCACTTACGTTGTGATAGTCACCTGATTTTTTTTAAATAACATTAAACAAAAATGGACTCAGTTGTGCATTGACCTGTGGCTCTTTTTTATTACACATAAGGGAAATTTCTATCCATTGGTTGATTGGCACCATAGTATTCGGGGGTGAGGGCGCTTAATGGAGGTGGTCTTCAGTGTTTTAACCATGTCTTGGAAAATAAAATAAAACATATTTAGACCTGATAATAAGTGGGTATCGCTTGAGGATTTCTGAAAAATTGCATGGCTGAAATTTGAGGTAGTTTTTCGCCAGAAGATTTGAATCTGTAGTTTTGTCTAGAAAAGCTGGCAAAAAGATGGGATAGATACCAGTTGGTTTGGTTTAGTGGTTAAGGCATTGGGGTAGAAACCAGGAGGCTCTGAGTTTTAATCCTGCCTTTGGCCCAAAGCCCACTGAATGAACTTGGGCCAGTCTCACTCAGCCAGCCTTAGGAAGGAGGCAGTGGCAAACCACTTGTGAAAGTTAGGAGAAAGGGGGAGAAGGAGGAAAAGAATTAAAAGTGGAATTTTTGAGAGCCCAAGAGGAAACGGTGAAAAGAGGAAGAAAGGGAAAAAGAGTTACGTTAGTAGACTAAAGAGAATAGTAGCAAGATTGTTATTGCGATGTAACTAATTAACAAATAAAGAAATGATAGTAGATTGTTAATTGTAGAAAAAAATTGAAAGAAATGCTCTCTATGTTTAAATTGAATTAGAGGATATATGCTGTTTACAGCAAAAAATACCAATGGAGAAAATAAGAAATGAAAATTTGGTGTAACTTCGAAGGGGCAATGGAAGATGTTGTTTATGTATTAAGAAAAAATAACTATAAAGAAGAAAAATAATGGAAGAAAATAATTTGGCTGAAAGTGAAAATGAAACTTATTGTAAAAAGGACTATGTAAATGGGAGGATGTAAAAGAAAAGACTCAGACAATTCTTTGTTCCTATAATATGTATAATTTGTATTAAAAAATAAAAAACCTTGAATGGGCAAACCACTTCGGAAAAAAAAATTGGCAGGAAAACTGCAGGGACTAGTCTGGGTGCTTACCAAGGGATAAAAGGGAGGGAAGGAGGAAAGTGAGGGAGGGAAAGAAGGAAGGAAGGAAAGGGTATCCCATTGCATCGAACTTACTCAGCTCTTGCCATTCCATTTTTCTCTCTGCCTTCCATAGAACTGAAGAGGAAGGAAGCTAAAGAAGTATAAACTAAATATACAGGACTACTCAGAGTGAGCAAGTGACCCCTGAGTTTCAAATTGTGTCATGCCTCTTGTCAGCTGAGGCCAGCAAATTCATTTCTACAGGCTTCTGTACAAAAATGCTGATTTCTGGCTCACATATTGTTGCTGCATTGCAGAGAAGTAATTTTCACGTTTAATATTTGTACTCCATGATGATGACTAGCTTGGCCAGTTTGGCTTCCGGGGGCCATGTGATTTTGTCGGTTCAAGGCTTCCATTTTACTGTCAAAATAAGTATGTCTGAATAATGGGGACTCCCTTTCATGTTTAAATTGTATTTTGGTTTATTGCTATGCTACTGCAGGTAGTCCTCAATTTAGGACCGCAATTGAGCCCAGGACTTATGTTGCTAAGTGAGAAATTTGTTTATTGAGTTTTGCCCCATTTTACAACTTTTCTTGCCATAGTTGTTAAGTGAATCATTACAGTTGATTCACAGTGGTTAAGTGAATTTGGTGTCCCCATTGACTTTGCTGGTCAGAAAGTTGCAAAAGGGGATCACATGAGCCCAGGACACTATAACCGTCATAAATGTGAGTCAGTTGTCAAGCATCCCATGGGGGTGCTGCAACAGTCAATACAGGAGGTGTGAAAAATGGACAAAAGTCACTTTTTCAATACCGTTGTAACTTTGAATGGTCACTAAGTGAATTGTTGTAACTACCTGTATATATTTTTTTAAAAGCATTCATTCTGACTCCTTGAAAATGGCAATTGCGTATGCATTTGTCGGTTAGATTCATACACACTTCATTGACCAAACCACAATATAGAAGTGCTATAAAAACTAGTTTTGTTTATTCCTAAACAGGTAGATAGGAAAGTAGATTCGTATTAGGAAACTTGTCATGCATGTAAGTTTCATGTACACTAACACACACACAAACTGTGTGTGTGTATATATGTATATGTGTGTATATATGTATATATATGCAGGTCTTGGTGTATTTGGGTCTTTTCCCATGTAAGATTGAAAGTATCTTGCCGACGTTTCGATGAGGTCAGACTTGTCATTTTCAGGCTGATGCCTTTGGCTTCATGCTTGTGCGAGCAAAGCGTGCTCGGAGCTGCCGTGTATATGTATATAAACATGTGTATGTGTTTGTGTGTGTGTGTGTATAGACAGACACACAAGCACACATACATATGTATACAGACATACACACACAAACAAGTGTATGTATACTACATAAAGATAACACGAAAACAAATTCAGTTCCTGGACTGTCAAGCCTAGCCAGAAATGATGGAAGTTGCCTTAAGAAGAACACAAACACCTGGCAGTTGGCAGCTGCTGTACCAGGTGCTTCATTTCACAGCGCTTCAAAGCAATCCGACCCAGGCAGACTGACATTTTTACAGTCCCAAAGCAGCACCTGACGGGCCGTGGTGCGAGAGGAGGCGTTGCTTGACGGGAAAGACCAAAGTCTAGAGGCCACACGGAGCAGCAGCAGCGTGTGACGTTTGGTAGCCTGAACGAAGGGCTGAAAAGGGTGAATCACCAGGACAGGATGTGACTCTTCAAGGCAGGGCTCAACTGCCTGGGAGGGAAGCTTTTTGCTTGTATGTTTATATTCCAGGAGTTCAAAGCTGCTTAGGGTGCCCGCCTTCTACTGCAGGGCTGGGGGATTCGGTGTTCTGACAGGCTTCACAAAATCACAAAGGCAACTCCTTGTCCTGCCAAAACCTCTTTGTATTAAGCTAATGTGAATTCCTCTCATTCCCATCCAGCAAAGTCCTGGCAAACCGTCTTTTTTTTTAAAAAAAAGTTAAGTATTTTATTATCAAAATTATTACATCTCTTGTGAAAGTTCAAATATTACAGCACAGTGTACAACTCCACTTGAGGGTAGCACTGCAGCCCCCCTGCACTCCTGACTTCCCGGTGGATTCCTACCCTTCCCAGCACCCTGAATAAGTGGGATGCTTCATATCTCTGCCTGCCAATATCCAGACGGATCCTTGCAATGCTGCAAACAGTCTTTCAAGATTGAATTTACAACCACAGACCTTATCAGGCTTGGAGAGCTGTCAGGCTGATATCTCCCAAACGCAACGCTGTACAAGAAAATACTTGGCAAGGAGTCTCTGAGAATCACGAACAAATCTTTACACTAATTAAGCAAACTAATTGTCTCCTGCAAACTTCCCTCCCCTTTCGCTCCTCTTTTATTTCCTCTGGGAGGGGCCATTCATCTTCCACCTGTGGCCTTACTCCCAAGTCGACCCCTGATCTTTAGCTGTTCCCTTCTCCTTGCAGCTCTGCAAATGCACACACTGGGAACAGGCTCCAGCTGTTCATCTGCCTCACTGATGTCTGCCTAGGAAGTAGCTGATAACTGTCAGATGGCCTTGGCTCCCTCTCTGCCTCCGACACAGAGCCCTCATCCCAGCCTTCCCCAGACTCCAGGACTGGCCCATCTCCCTCCCCAACCTCCTCACTGTCCGACTCTGCCGCCAGCTCTGCTGGCAAGCCACAACATTCTGGAAGTCCACAAGTCTTTAAAGTGGATAAGTTTGGGGCAGGGGTGGATTCCGGCAGGCACTACTGCTGGTTTGCTTGTGGGCATGCAATTACAATTGTTTTGTGCATGCGCAGAACTGAAAAATGAGCTAGTTTGGGGGCGTGGCATGCCTGGGTTGCTGCCGGTTCCAGCGACCCAGGCTGCCAAACCACTACCGGTTTGGCCGCAGCAGAGGGATGAAAGAGCCACACGCGGTTGCTGACCCCTGCCTTATCCAGAGCCTGGCCCAAGAATTCCTCACCCTCCCCCACTTCCCCGAACTTTGAAAGAAGAGACTAGAGCAGGGGTGTCCAAATCTGGGATCTTTTAAGACTTGTGGACTTCAACTCCCAGAATTCCTCAGCATGGCTGGCTGGGGAATTCTGGGAGTTGAAGTCCACAAGTCTTAAAAGTTCCCACGTTTTGATACCCCTGGACTAGAGACTGTCACTTATCTGACAGTCTAACTTCAGCTTGAGGGGGAGGGCTGGACTAGAAAACCTCAAAGGGTCCTTTCCAGCTCTCTCCTACTCTAAGAACCAGCCCCAAGGCGCAAGGGGGAGGCCGATCCCACCCACCCCCGGCCATCGCTCCCCTCCCTCTCACCCCATTGACCTGTCAAGCCCACTCACTCCTCCCCCCTGTCCTCCCTGCCCCCAGGATGGGGGTGTGTGTGGTGTTGTGCCTCCCCCAAGCCCCTCCGCCCCGCCCCCCCCCCCGGGCGCAGCCCCTCCGCCCCCCCGGCAGCTCCCTGGGCAACATTGTAGCAAAGTGGGGGGGGCGCGAATAAGGCAGCCCCG